CTCCCAATATCCAGTTTTCTGGATTATCTTCCAATTGGGCTGGATCTCCCTGGTTTCTGATACCTGCCTTGACATGACTCCATGTGTCCTTGACTGCACCCTGAGATTTTCCACCATTCCACCATACAAATGCAGATCTAATCTGATCCTTAATGAAATTGTAAGTGTAAAGGAAAAGGGGGGGGGGGGAATAACCATTTTGACTAGGCTTTTGAATTATATTTGATTTCTCTTAGATGTTTGAAACATATTACCGGAAAGCAATAAAATACTGCTCACGCTGTAATGCCTTGTTGGCAATGTGCAGAGATGATAGATAACTTTCTTATTAAAGACAAAATCCCATTCCATTCTGGGTACCTTATCCATATTCTAACAAAAATATGCATAATAACACATTGAAGCTAGACAACCAGCCATTAATTCTAAATGAAAGTGATTAATTATGCCTGTTCTTGTTCCCCTAACAAAGAGAAACATAGCTCAGTTTAGGGTTGTTTTTTACAGCAAAATTTAACAAAGTATATTTTAACATAATCTATAACAGTATAGCCAACAGGGTAATATATTTGGACCTGGAAGCCATGCTTTTAAAACCCCACAGAACCAGGAACAAGCTTTTGACAAGCCATTTTTCTTCAATTTCATCATCTCATCTGAGGTCACTCCCTATCTCACAGAGGTATCATGAGGAAGAATGAGACAAATATCTACAGTGATTTACAAAAGAAAAATATCTACAGTGATTTACAAAAAATATTGACTTTTTAAATATATGGAAGCTAAATAATAATAATAATAATAATAATAATAATAATAATAATAATAATTTATTTATACCCCGCCCATCTGGCTGGGTTTCCCCAGCCACTCTGGGCGGCTTCCAACAAAACACTAAAATATAATGAGCTATTAAACATTCAAAGCTTCCCTAAACAGGGCTGCCTTTAGATGTCTTCTAAAAGTTTGGTAGTTATTTTTCTCTTTGACATCTGGTGGGAGGGTGTTCCACAGGGCGGGTGCCACTACCGAGAAGGCCCTCTGCCTCGTTCTCTGTAACTTGGCTTCTTGCAGCAAGGGAACCGCCAGAAGGCCCTCGGCGCTGGACCTCAGTGTCCGGGCAGAATGATGGAGGTGGAGATGCTCCTTCAGGTATACTGGACTGAGGTCGTTTAGGGCTTTAGATCATGTGTTTTTAGTTTATTGCTAATTTAATGTTTTGAGCATTTTCATTGTTTTCATTTTTGCTTAATCTTCTTGTAAATTGCTTTGAGGGTTTCTTTGTTAGCTTGTTTACAGCCAAGTGGTATAGAAATTTTGCCAAACAAACAAACAAGCAAACAAACAAATATAGTCCTCCTCTCTCCCACTTCAGAGATGGACTTACTTGAGATATCTTATCCAATATTCAGTATTCAATCTGTTGCTCTTTTTCGTTTTCTAAAGTTCATTGCCCTTCAAATATGTTGCTTTTGCTAAAACATTACGCTTTTTTTTTCCTTATGAGGGGAAAAGTTTTATCCCAACAGGGGGCTGCTTGATGGCTCAGAGCTTGTCTAAAAGCAGCCCGGCGTTGGGTTGTGCTAATGCATGGTTCACAGTTGTGATGAGGGACCCAGGAAAAGAGAGCCTCTTTGTTCCACATTGTAAAGCCCTGTTACTAATGGCCAGAGTTTTATGTCACTGTGCAGCAGCGACTGAAGAAAGGACCCACAGGGAGTTAATACTGTTCTTAGGTCTATTAACTCCCAGCCAGATTCCTCCGTAAGTTTACAGCAAGTCTGTGGAGAATGGCACTATGGAACATAACCCAGATCCTGGGTTCATCTCGCTACTGATTCGAGCTGCGTGCTTATTCTGCTTTCCTAACAAATATTTTGAAAAGCAGTAAATAAATAAAACCTAAATGCTTGGGAACTACAGACCGTAGCAAATGGCACAGCCACTAAATGCAACAAGGTAGTGGAATTTTACTTCATGACACTTTTGAATCGTGTCGGTTCAGAATGTGGGTGTTCTGTGCAAATACTACCCCCCCACACAAAAAATATCCCTGCCTAGGGATGTTAGGAAGACAGAAGGCTGCCTTGTATTGAGTCAGATCATCCGGACATCTAGCTCAGTATTGTGAGCTAGGGCAGGAGCCAGCTTCACCTGCTGAACGGCAGCCTGAAGGGAGAGAAGACAAAGTGACTCCACCTGCCTTCAATGACACACAGGAGATGGCGCTAATGAGAACCAGCAGCTTCAGCCTTCTTAAGCAGAGCTTCCAGCAGCAGTCAAATGCTGGGAAAAATGCTTGTAATGCTAGCCCTTCCTTGGGGCTTCCTGCTAATCTTGACCTTTGACTCATGATCATTGGATGCCTTGACTCCTGGACTGTCTGACCACATGGATTGCTGTTCACCTGACCCAAGGCTGGACCTGACTCTGCCTCCAGCCTAGTACATCTCAAAGACTCTTCTGGTTGGCTGGCCTCACAATCCACTGATCTCTGCACATGATTGCTCAGCGATGAGACTGTGACATATTGTCCATATGGCAGAGGGAGATCAATTCCTAACAGAAGAGGAGGGGGAATATTCACCCCCCACACCCCGCTTCCAGCATTCCCAGAAGCAGGCAGACAGGCAGACACAGAAGCTGCACACTTGAGAGAGGGGCTACCTAGCTATGAGATAGTAGCTAAGCAAGCAGAAGGGAGGGAGCAGTTGGGCGATACATCAATCGAGAGTGGGGAGGGACCCCCTCCCTCCCCCTGAACTCATAGGTCCGAGCGTGTCAGAGAACAAAGAAGACGTGGGGGGGAGGGACTTCCCTTTGGCGTGCTTCTTGCTGTGGAAGTGGTAAGGAGTCAGAGTAGGCAACTGATATCCTTGCAGAGAGTTCCCTGTTTGTGCTTGTAACAGAATGCTGTAATAAAAAGACTATGAATCTACCAAATGCTCGTTAATTCTTATCGGTGAGCCACTGGAAGGTAGAGGGGAACTACCGTAAAATGACATGTAGCTACTCATCGCTGTGCTTGCTTGTTGCATACAGAGACCTTAGAAACTCAACCACCTCTGCCTGCTGTCTGAAATGGTACACTCCATAATTCCAGCCTTCAAATCTGCCTTTTAATTCTGCACAACGTAAAGAATGGTTGTGACTTAGCTTGGCAGGCGAAGTCACCCCAGGGCCTGAGGATGCTAAGCTGCAAAATGCATTTCAGCGTCTCAGCTCATGGGGGAGGCATGCGCAAACCCAAAGGCTCCCTTTTGGAGCCCGCATTAGCTTCCAACCGTCCCTATGCTTGGCTTTACTTCTGATCCTGTGAGACACTGTGTCAGTGAGGTGGAAATGCTCCAAAATGCTGAAGGATGGTGAAGTTATGAGTCAGTTTTTGATGTCTGAGGTAGACAAGGGACACTTGCTGGTGTGTTTGTTCTTACTACTTGATTTTCTTCCTTTGTTTCCTCCCACCCTCAGTTGCTGCCACTTGGATAGATCCAATGATAAGTCTAATGGGCTCTGCATTTATCCAGGGTAAACTCGGCCTTCAAATTGTCATTACAGTCTTTGAATCAGTTGCTCTCTCTCTCTCCATCCCATAGGCTGATTTAAGATGCACCCGTGTTTTCAAATGTCTCTGTTAAAATCCACAGAATGCAACACAAAGGAGAGAGCAGTGTGCCAGAGCATATAAACCTTGCCAACCTGGTTGTAGCAGCACAATGCTTTTTTTTGCCCCACTGGGTCTAGAATGCAAGCCTTTGGACTGGGTTGCAAGCAATTCATCCTGGTTGAGCCTTGAATTATGTTCACTGGGAGACTTCACATTTTGCTATTTAGCCTGACTGAAATGGACTGCCAGCTGCCTGCGTTAAAAATGTCCAGCGCTGTCATTGTTTCATATCAGCTTATGACACCTGTTTGTATTTTCTTCCAGAGGGAACCTATTAAAATCCTCTTCATTAACCCACTAGAAAGCTCTGTGCTTCAAACTCTCTGATGCTTGTTTTTTTGGTTTTGCAATTAGAAATGATTGCCACTGGGAGGGGCGGACCCTCTCCCTCATATTTGTCACAGAATAGTTGTAAACTTCTCATTGTGTAGTTGTGTGTAGATTTGCCTAGAATGTCAAGTTGCCCTCTGTAACAGCAGCCTGTAAACAGAAACAATCCTTTGAGGTCTTCCTGGAGTACTTAAAGTCACTTTTGGAGTAATTATCTGAAGGCAATTATCCTTATTACTTTAAGCAAATAAAGCAGAACTTCCACAGAAGCAGGGAAGTTAGAAGGAAGATAAAACAGGCCAAGAATAGAGATGAACGAGTCTATTTCTGGCCTATGTCACTTGTGCATCTTTTTGAACACAGATCAGCAGCATCTGACTGGGTTCCATAGAGCTGCTTGGTTAGCTTTCTGGCAGGTGGTTGCTCAAGAGAAGGAGCAAGGCAGAGGAGAGGTCAGCATGGTGCAAACACTCTGGCAGGAGTGCCAGGTTGGCTTAAGGTTACCAGATTTTTTTCAATGAATCCAGGGACACTTTTGATCTATTATAGTATTTTAATATTTTTTTGGAAGCCACCCAGTGTGGCTGGGGAAGCCCAGCCAGATGGGCGGGGTATAAATAATAAAATTGTTGTTGTTGTTGTTGTTGTTAAACTTCAATGGATTCTGTATGGGGACTGATTTGTAAATCTGGGGACTATCCCCGGGAAACGGGGGTTGGCTTCATTGCTGTGTTTGCATTGTGGTGATCTCCTCTCCTCCTGTTAAGCAACAGTGACCCCACCTGGTGGCATGCTAACATGGCAGCTCCACCCCACCAGCTGGTTCTGCCACAGATCCATTCTGTTTCCACATCAATCTGCAATATTTGTTTAAAAAGTCTCTGGGCACATATTTTGAACATGGTCTGGGACTTGTACTCCAGCAACACCTGAAACATCATAGAATTGGAAGGTACCCTGAGGATCATCTGATCCAACCTCCTGCAATGCAGGAATATGCAGCTGTCCCAGGGATCGAATGGGGATCAAACCAGCAACGTTGTTGTTATCAGCACCATGCTCTAACCAGCTGAGCTATCTAGGCTGACAGGCACCACTGTGAATACCCCTGGTCTATACTGGCTGGCAGGAGCAATGCCTAGGTTTTATTTGGGGGGCTTTAACAAGATTGACTGGAGATAGAAGCAATTGAGCCCATGGCTTTCTGCCTACAAAGGATATACAGTGGTACCTCGGGTTAAGTACTTAATTTGTTCCGGAGGTCCATTCTTAACCTGAAACTGTTCTTAACCTGAAGCACCACTTTAGCTAATGGGGCCTCCCGCTGCCGCCGCACCGCTGGAGCACGATTTCTGTTCTCATACTGAAGCAAAGTTCTTAACCTGAAGCACTATTTCTGGGTTAGCGGAGTCTGTAACCTGAAGTGTATGTAACCCGAGGTACCACTGTACTTTACCACATTAATCACAAACATGTGCAGAATACTTATTTATTTGAAATATTTATATCCTTTCCTATATACTTGTACCTTGGTTTTCAAACAGCTTAGTTCCTGAACATTTTGACTCCCGAACGCCGCAAACCCGGAAGCGAGTGGTCCGGTTTGCGAATTTTTTTTGGAAGCAGAATATCCAGTGGGGCTTCCATGGCTTTCAATTAGCTGCAGGAGCTTCCTGCAGCCAATCAGAAGCCGGACTTTGGTTTTCGAATGTTTTGGAAGTCGGACGGACTTCCTGAATGGATTCTGTTCGACCTCCAAGATACGATTGTATAGAGCAGGGGTCAGCAAACCTTTTCAGCAGGGGGCCGGTCCACTGTTCCTCAGACCTTGTGGGGGGCCGGACTATATTTTAAAGGGGGGGGAATGAACGAATTCCTATGCCCCACAAATAACCCAGAGATGCATTTTAAATAAAAGGACACATTCTACTCATGTAAAAACACACTAATTCCCAGACCGTCCGTGGGTCAGATTTAGAAGGCGATTGGGCCAGATCCAGCCCCTGGGCCTTAGTTTGCCTACCCATGGTATAGGGCTTCTCACAATGTCTTAAAACAACAGCAACAAATACTATAGAAATCCAAAGAAGAACAGAAACGGATCACTATTTTTTAAAGAAAGAAAACTTAAACAGAGTTCACTTAAAGCCTTCAACCTAACCAAAAACTACAGACAACAAGCAGCAACTTAGTTAATAACGGGAGGCCAAGAGAAAGTTGCCTTCCCTGGGTAGCCTAGAATGTGTTTCTTTCTGTGTAAGTCAACATTTCATGCTGTCTTGATGGCTATCTTCAATCAACAGGGTTTAATCAGGGCAAGGCTGCATTTCATGCTGTCACAAACACAATCCTGGATCAAAGGAAGGAAGCCCGGAGACCAAGGCGATGGTACCAGTTTTCAAAATTGAAGAGAGCTCTCAGTCATATAACACATTCATACATGCTCTATGGGGATAGAGTTACCAAAGACAGATCCTGTACCTAACTAGATGGTCAGGCTAGGAGCACAGAGGGATGGATGGAGCTGGGCGATGGTGGAAATTTCACCCTGCTCCACGGGGTGTTGCAGAGGTGTTTGAACCTAAAATATCCACATATTTCTTATACTTTGATCTTGCTCTCTTTTGATATGTCACAGGTTGACTGACATGTTGATTGCAGACATTCTTTTGTAACGTCTCAGTGTATGACAACAGGTCATTATGATCTTTTGGTCTTGCCAGGGTGCCTCTGGGCAAACAGGCATAGCCGTCCTGGAACGTGTTATTTCTTTCTACGAAGAAGGTTGTTTTGCCGTCTCATTTTCCAAGAAATGTTTCCCTTTAATCTGATTAAATCCATTGATCTAATGCAGCCATCTGCAACTCATCTTTGGCAACCCTGCACAGCCTGCTTTTACTACAAATACTCCCTCTTTTTCTCTCATCCATACAGCTTGGAATTGATTACAAGAAAAAACCCAGTAATAAAGCATCCCAAAGATACATGGACACATATTCACAAAATCTTCAGAGGACTCATTTTACCAAACCATATCTAATGTACAACGTGTAATGATCTCAGGCAGGCAAGCAAGCCCTGATAAGAAGTAATGACTCTCCACCAGTTTTATGTTACGTTTATTTACAAAAAAACAACAACAAAAAAAAAACACCACATCCAGAGCATGGCTTCTCGCCTGCTCACATTGACGATAGCTGGTCAGTCTGAATCTTCACCCCTTTCACAGCAGGAAGGATGCCAAATTCCCGCCCTTCCCCTCTGAGCTTAACCAGTCTCCTAGAACGGGGACTGAGAGGCTGGTCTTCCCCCTCCCCACTTCCATTTGGCACACTCTCAGTCCTCTGCTTATCTGCTGATTGCCTAGCAACGCTCTGGCTGCCTCCCAACTCTCCCACTTCTTGAGAGCTAACAGTTCTTCGGGAAGGGGGGTCAGCTAGCTTGCTCCATGACAATAACCCTCCACACAGACCCTGTCAACCCTTTCTTGGCTCTGTCAGCTAGCTCTCATCTGCAGAGTCGGTCTCTCTCTCACTTAGCTCAGTTTCTCAGTCTGACTCTTCCCCTGTGCTCGGGTGAGCCACGTTCCTGGAATAACGGGTACATGGCAAAACTCTCTCCCCTCCCCCAAAGAAAACAGGGTACTAGGATTGAGATTTGGACCCTGGGTTGTTGCTTTTGTTTGGAAATCAACCACTGGTCCTAGCAAAGACCACAGATTTTCCTATACGTGCAGCTCTGGGTTGACAGGGTCTGTGTGGAGCGTTATTGTCATGGAGCAAGATAGTCAGTCAATCACACAGTTTCTCATTACTAGAGAAATACAATCTTCACAAACTTGGCTGAGTTTCAGGCCTAAGGAGCACAACAGCTCATGCCCTGTTGGTCCTAGTCTGTGAAAGCAATTGCATACCCTCCAACCTTTCTCTGCTGAAAATAGGGACACCCTGTTCAACAACAACAACAACAATAATTTTTACTATTTACAGTGGAACCTTGGTTCTCAAACTTAATTCATTCTGGAAGTCTGTTTGACTCCTGAAACCATTCAAAAACCAAAGCGTGGCTTCCGATTGGCTGCAGGAGCTTCCTGCACTCAAGTGGAAGCTGCGTCAGACATTTGGCTTCTGAAAAACGTTCGAAAACCAGAACACTTACTTCCAGGTTTTCAGTGTCCGGAAGCCGATTTGTTCGTCAATCAAGCTGTTCGAGAACCAAGATACCACTGTATACCCCACCCATCTGACTCACTCTGAGCAGCTGCCAACATACAGTGGTACCTCAGGTTAAGTACTTAATTCGTTCCGGAGGTCCTTTCTTAACCCAAAACTGTTCTTAACCTGAAGCACCACTTTAGCTAATGGGGCCTCCTGCTTCTGTCAAGCTGCCGGAGCCCGATTTATGTTCTTATCCTGAAGCAAAGTTCTTAACCTGAAGCACTATTTCTGGGTTAGTGGAGTGTGTAACCTGAAGCATATGTAAGCTGAAGCGTATGTAACCCGAGGTACCACTGTATATGGAAACATAATAAAACATTAAACATTAAAAACTTCCCTCTACAGGACTGCCTTCAGATGGCTCAGGGGTTGGATAACTCCATATCCTCCAACATTTCTCTGATCAAAACAGGGACATCCTAAAGAAAAGTGGGACATTTTGGTATCAAATCAGAAACTGGGATGGCTTCTGTAAATCTGGGATGTCCCTGGAAAATAGGGACACTTGAAGGGTCTGCAGTTGCCAATACTAAACGTCTCCCCCCCCTGCAGCTGTCTATATCTCCTCTCCAAGGTTTCTTGCAAGCAATCTGAGACTGTGCCTGCCTGCAGGCTGCCTTTGCTCCTCCTGTTCCATTGCTCTTTCAGTTCTGGGAGTCAGGAGGATAGGGGAGCTTCTTGAAGCAGGTGGGGAGACATCTCTGCCTTGCACCTCTCTTCTCCCATTCGCATGTTTCAGCTTCTGCCTCTGATTATAGACTTTTCTCTGCCATAGACTGAGCCCTGTTACCCCTTCAGCTTCCAACACTCCTCTTCCCAGTCTTCTCCCTCTTCTCCCTGTGACCACTCATTGTTGTCCCACTACAACTCCCCAGGATCTGAGCCTTCTTCATCCCTTGGTGGTTAACCAGCTGGTTCCTCCCACCACTCCTCCATGTCCAACCAATCCGTGACAGTTACACAGAGCACATACATTGACCAAAAAGCTCTTCTGCAAAATTGGCCATTGCTGACAAACCCTCGTTTATATGGCAAGGTTCTGAGAGAACGGTTTTCTGCATCAGTTTCACTGTAACGTATTGCATCGCAGGCAAAAAAAAACCAAAAAAGTGATCAGAGTAGTGATTAAGAAATGTTACATGTGGAGAAAAGCACAGCATGAAACCTGCAAAACACTCTGTTTTGATTACATGTTTGAGCTGCAATGAAAGATCACGGGAATGTGAAACTAGAGCAGACTGTACAGGAAGCTGTAATTATTGCCTTTTATAAATAACACTCAAAAACATGTTCTTTGGGGCTATTAGAGCAAAAGGTTCATACTTGAGACTAATATTAGGGTGACTGAGGTTGCTCAGTTATTTTAACCATAAGTGGCTTTGTTGTGCAGAAGAACAATGATGTTACAAACAGCAGACTTTGACTTTTTTTTATTGTGCTTTACTAGCTCCCATTCCCCACTGTAATTCAGCCTAACCAATTGTAACTGGGAAGAAAAGCTTGCATATTACTTCCCAGCTTACCTCTCTGTTTCCACCTCCCTGCCCTTCCTCTGTTGTTGCCCCTATATTGTTGCTGATGACAACGTAGTGTGTGCACACTCACAGGATGACCTCCAAACCATCCTAAATATCTTCACAGACTTACGAAAAGCTTGGCCTATCGTTCAACATCCAAAAAACCCAAAGTGCTGCACCAACAAGCACAAAACAATTCCTCTGCAGCACCACAAATCCAACTCAATGGTGTAACGCTGGAAAATGGCGATCACTTCTCCTACCTGGGTAGTTATCTTTCCACAAGGGCCTACATCGATGCCGAATTCCAGCATCACCTGAGCTCTGCGAGTGTGGCTTTCTCCCAATTG